AAGGTAGATTTTTTATATATATATATATATATATATATATATATGCTGCATAATCAAATTGAATGTATTCTTACATTTATGATGAATATTTAAGCCAGCATAATATTTAAATATATTTATGCAATCGTATTAAAATGTATGAAAGAGAAATTGTAGTTAAAGTATATTATCGTATGTGATACTAGAAAATATGGAACAACATGCAAGACTGACCATTGTAGTAGTAAGTGGTGGTGAGTTGCCACTACATTAAAAGTCATAACTCATTGTAATGTTCTTTTAAGTTGCTGTGGAAAGGCTTACTATGTAGATTTATATTTTGCTTACATATTGTAAAGTAGTAGTTCAGTTCATGTTGAATATTTTCATACATGAAAACTATTCTGTTGTTCCTGATAATTGAGAAATTATATTACTTAATTGTATTGTACTGAAAATGTCAACATTAAAATCATGTCAAATCCTATATTTTTCATATCCATTCATATTTTAATCCCCATGGAGAACAAAAAGATGCATTTAAGTTGTTGCCATGTAACAAGTAGACACAGATGTGTCATGGGTTTCATAGTGATACATCCAGCCCAAAGGATTCTAATGGCTTGTTACTAGCATAGGAAGCCAAGCATCAACACTAAACAGCAGTGTATAGGAAAAACACATAATACACATGTTCAGTGGTTCATGGCAGCAGTAATTTTATGTGCACACAGCAGTTTTTTCAATGACGTAACTGTGGGGAGTCCACACCCCTTCTTTGTTTTCAGAAGTCCAATGGGAAACACTTTTGGGATGTAAAAATTAGGTCAATAGAATAATTAGAGTTTGATTAACTGCTTGCATTTTTCTCCTTATATATTTACCAGTACCCATTGAACCCCAACCAGAGGTACAGCCCACTGTCACAAGCGCCACTCATTTGCCTGCCACACAGCAATTGGCCACCCATGATGCCTTAGCTGCAGTAGCACAGCTGATTTCGTCTTCACAAGGTCAAGAGGTAAGTACAAAGATACTTTCTTCCAGCACATCTGCCATACATCTGCAATGCATACTGATCTTAATGTTTTTTGGCTGATACATTCTATACAACTACACCTGTAGCTGCAGAGGTTGCTTCAGAATCTTCAGCAGGCAGACAAAAACTTGTCAACCATCATCAGCGACAATCTACCAACTGCACCCCAGTTGTCTACCCCCCAGCTCAATTCCCACAACAATGCCGGCATGGAGAATAAAGGCTCATTTGCAGAGGTATTCATGTAGCTCTGTCTATCAAAAACACACTTTCAACAAATACACTATTCTTGTGTTATTTCTTTTTTTAAAATTCATTTGTTTTTCATTTTGTTATTTTTTATAGAAACTCTTGGATCGTTTTGACTATGATGATGAACCTGAGGATGTCCGTTCACATGAGCTGACTGGTCATACACAGTAAGCATCATAAGATTTATCTATTACAAATATCTGCTACTGTACTACAATACTGTTTATATTTGTGGCTTTTACTTTTAGCAAACCTTTTCCAGCGCATAATTTAATTTTGGTTATCCAAGTGTAGACAAAGTTATGACTCTTTAAATAATACAGTAGAAACTGCAATTCAGTATTACACTTAAATTGTTCTGCTTCGTCTGATTAAGTTTGAGTTCTTTTAGGAAAACTATGGGTTAGCTATGTAAATGTTTCCATTGATGCAGTGTTCAATTGTCACCAGTTAGACAGTGCCCTCCTGTGGCCGTAAATTATATCTTTATATATAAAATATAGTCAATACCAGTTTCGGGGTCTTTCAGTCTGTCTTGGATAAACTTGGGCCTAAAGAACCTCTTTCCCGGCTACTTCCTCAGTACCATGTTGTTATACACCTGACTGCTTAGTGTGGCCATGTCACAGTAGTGTGGCACTTTCTCAAATTCAAGATCATATAGTACTAAATGATAGAACCTGGGTTTCATTGCATTTTTTGGATGTTTAAAAATGAAGTAACTTATTGTTGCTGAAAACAACTGATCATCATTGTTCATGTTCCCATGACAGATGGACAACTGAAAACACAATAAACAACTTCAATGGTCAGATGCCCAATACAGGACATGTTTTTCCACATATGATGGCACCGATAGACGGTTTCCAGGTAATCAAAACTGTGCTAATGATGTTGTGAAGTATGAAACCATTATTATGTAAGCTTTGATTGTAGGCCAAGCAAAGTTAATGGATGATTAAAAAAAAAAAACAGAAAAAAGCAAAATAATAGTTTGTGAATAAGTTGTTTTTATTTGTGGACTTCAGACAGCCTTTTTTGTTTCTCTTGTGACCTCTATGATATGATCCTTTCCATTTTGTCTTTCTTTTACACAGGTGTCAGGTGCTGCAATGGGTCATATGGAACACGTCAGGATTTCTGATGGACACCGTTTTAGAGATGATGGTTCTAATTCACAGGTATACCTTATATAAATGACTTTTGTAAAAAATAATTTCTGTCAGTGGTGGCCCTTTAATCAGTAATCTTTTGGCTAAATTTGTGATCCCTAGGCTATTTGCTAATGGATACCTAATATAATATAATGTTTTGAAAGTTTAGTATTTAATCAGGAGGTTTTTCTTTTCCAGATTAATATTTTTGTTTGTGTTGAACTAGTTAAAGTTATATTGCGGTAACTACTTTGTCACAGGGGAACTCAAGAGAGGGCTCCACACATGAGGGACGACACAGAGGCTATGGCAGAAGAACACAGTCCAGGTCACGTTCTAGGTAAAAAAAACTGAGTAATTGGTTCAAGTTGTATAGGTGTCACCTATGTTTACTGTTTTGCTGACTAAATGCGACTGCTTCTGTCTGCTTTCTCTTCCTGCTCTTTTCCTGTCTTCTTCCCCCTGGAAGTAGACAAACAGTTGTGCTCAGTCCTTTTTTTAACCAATCCATGTTATTAACCTTTCATTTACCAATTCACAAACTATAAATATTTACATAAAAGTAGCATAATATTTTTTCCTTCAAACTCGTTTCAGATCCCCCAGAAGAAGAAGTTCAAGGTCCTCCTCGCATTCAAGGCGGTTGCGCCAAAGGCGTTCTCGCTCTCGTTCCAGAGACAGACGTCGTAGATCAACTTCAGAGGACCAAAATGAAAGACAGAAGGACAGAGAACGCAGACAGAAAGGACTACCGAGCTTAAAGAAAGAAACATTAAATGGTAAGTTTACCAAAAACAATATATATAATTTAATTTTTTTCTTAAACTCTTGGCATGTACAAAGTCAATAGATGCAAAGGAAGTTGGGAAGTTTCTGAATAATTTAAAGGGCTTTACAGAATTGGACAGAAATTATTATTACCCTTATATTTTTTGTTTGTTTTAGTTCATGTTCCTAATTTTTCAAAAGATTTTTATTTATATAAAAATACTTATACTTCAAGTATAGGGTCACCCCTAGATTGACAGAAGGGCTGAACAATTATGGCCAAAATGATGTTATTTGAGCAGTGTCTAGTATATAAATGTGAGTGAGGTATGAATTTTCAAGTTGAAGTCCTAAAAATGTAATTTGTCATTTTTCCTGTAGTTTGCAGCACTACACTTTGGGTTGGACAGTTGGACAAGAAAACACAGCAGTCTGATGTGATGTCTCTGTTTGAGGAGTTTGGTCAGATTGTGTCCATCAATGTAAGTTGAGACACCTGTGTGAAATGGATTCTTTCCCAGATTGTTTTTTTTTAAGTGTGTGTAACGACATCTTTATTTATGTCCAGATGATTCCTCCAAGGGGTTGTGCCTATATTGTTATGGTCCACAGACAAGATGCCTACACAGCTCTGAAAAGACTCAGTCGAGGGTCTTACAAAGTGCACCAGAAACCAGTTAAGGTACACTTTCTTGCTCAGTCTATTTATTGAAATGTTTAGATTGATGTATTGCTTCATAATACTATTTAATGCAATTGTCCTAGGTTGCCTGGGCATTAAACAAAGGTATAAAAGCAGCACATAAGAAGTTGTGGGATGTGGACGAGGGAGTTACGTGTATTCCTTGGAGCAAAGTCAAAGTTGAGGAGCTGGAGAGCTATCGAGAAGGAGGAATTCTGGACATGGAAACTCTTAATCCAGGTAAACATTGAGGTATTGCATTTGCATGATTGAATATGTCTTTTTGCAGATGTTTAACTAAATTTGAATGTACTTTGCTTTATGCACAGAGTGGAATATCAGCCAGGACATCAATAAGCAGCCCATCGAAAATGGAGAACTGGAGAGTGTACCAGCAGATGGAATGATCCCTACGCAAATACAGGTACTGGGAGTTCAGCTTTTATGTGATTTTTCCTTAGTAATACATATTCTCTTTCGTTGGTGCCCTTGGAGTAAGTCACTTAAGGTATTATTATGTGGAGGGCCTGAAAGAAATAAAACACAGTTGGCTATTAATCATGAATCTTATTTGAAAGTTTTCAGTTATTGGTTGTGTTCAATAAACTGTTTTAAAGCAACCGCAAGGAATATTGGTTTCACATTCTGACAGGATCTGAGCTGCATAGTAACTTGTATTGCGTTCAATTTGAAACCACTTGCCTGCTCAACTGCACTCATTAATCAAATGTTCCTAAATCTTGTGCCCAAGGGAGAACCGTGGTCAACGTTCACATGTAACTGCAAGGCCTCATAAAATTATACATTTGTGCTCATGAGCACCACATGTAGCAAACCCATACATGGACTGAGGCATCTCAAAATAGTAAAAGATTTATGATATGGCACTCTTTTAGTATCTAAACACATACTATATTATTTGATTAATTCACTTATTGATGTAAAAGCAGATGTGGCCACTTTTGGCAAGTGCATTCAATATACGTAACTGCACTTTTATGCTGCTACTTCACTGCTTTTACTGTTGGATACCTTTTAATAATTCTCTAAAGTGTGTTTACATATATTACACATTTTGTTGGTTTTCTTTATTTTTTGTTAAGAGTAGTTTTCTTTGGACACCCTTTCTTACAGGTCATAAAAACAACTTCAATTTGAGATTAAACTCTTGCAGATTGAATGTTTTTATCTGGATTTATCTTTTAATACCTACAACCATAGTCAGTATTTCATTAAGAATAATGAAAGTCAACATGTTTCTGCCCTTCTTAAAAGCTAATAGTAGATCTAAACAATACTTCCAAATGGAGACTGGTTTCTCAGAACTTATTGGGACGCTTTTCCCACACACTCACACTTGGTCCCACAGTAAAAAGAAATTTTTATTTACATTTTCTTCTCATTGTGAAATATGTTTAGCTAATGACCAGATTCTAGGATGAGCCTTAGTCTTGGACAAAAATCATTTGGCGTACAACTTAAAGGTTGGGTTTATTGCGACAGATATCTCTAACACTCCGAACCAGCTGTGCTAAATACGTGACGTTCACTAATTCAGCAAGATGGTGAGTTGTTTTTCCTGTGCATTTTATATTGTCTGCATGTTGGTTATTTCATTTGATTTTTGTCTCACATGAAACAGTCAATGTAATGTCATCAAACTCGCCTCTAAATGATTTAGTTTCGCAGATAGCCTTACTGTATAAAATGAAGATCAGGGTTACCTCAACTGTTGTTTTATGTCTAGAAAACTGACATATAACAGCGTATTGGTCTTTTGTCTTTTTAACTTAATGAAATGGTGGTTTTCCAGCATTTCTCCCCTTTTCTCATGTGCTATTCCACAGTATATAAAAATAGAAAAAATAGAAAAATAGATTTACATACTTCATAATTTTTTTTTCTGTTTTCATATCCAGTATAGGTTCTAGGTATAAAATATATCAGTTGTTTGTAGAGAAGTACTTCTCTACAAACACAAGGTATATCCTAAGGACTAGGGTTTGCAGCGAATGTTTTCCTCTTACCAGAAACATTAACTTTGAGCTGTGGTCGGACAAGAAATATTAAAATGAAAGTTGTCTGCATGTTATGTGAGGAGTAATTGAAGTCCACTTGGCTGGTGGGATGTAAAATATCATCATGCTTCATTAAGTGAGTGTAAAATGGAGACCAGGTAAGTCAGAAAATGTTATTATATAGTTCAGTCTGTGATAAGACCAGCAAAGTAGTCAGTATCTGACTTAAATCAGTGCAGTGTAATATTACCATAGTACTGTCACATTTGTGCCATTGCATTTGATTTGCAGTTAGGTGTTTTTAACAAAAGAAATAACAAAATGCTATATGTCTCACTGTTTTGAACATAGTTCTAATTTGTATAATGTACATTTTACTTTGGATACATAGTGTAATACACATTTTTCCCAAAAACATAGCAATAGGTTTTACATCCCATTTTTAACAGCAACAACTAAGTCAACTTATTTCTTGTAAAGGCCACTAGGGATGACCTAAAACCAACTTCTTTTTTTTTAACTTTAGAAAAGACTTTTGTTTTGTTAGGACATCGAAATAAATTGTCTTTTTTGTAAAGACCTCTGTTTGAGCATTAGAGCTAGGGATATAACTATACTCTCAACCCACGATATGATTCATGATTTTATTTTTGTTCTCTAATACATTTTTGAACGGAAATGAGCTCCATTAAAATGAAATACAAGGATCCTTAATTTGTAAGGACTGTTCAAAATACCATTACCAACTGCATTGGTAATGGTAACACCATTTGTGTCTGTGGAAGAAGTTTTTCCCACGATCTGATTGAACACTTAGACTACATAGGGACCTGACGTCCTGGTGCATACCGCCACCTACTGTACTGGAATGTGCAGTCTGAAATATGACCACTGACAGTTTGAAATAATGCAACCTACCTCACACCTTGGTGTGCAACCCTTTTTTTTTTTCGACTGATACGACTTGTCACGGATTTGTATCGGTTTGTAACCAATTTCCTTTTACATCCCTAATTAGACCGTTTACAAAAGTGTGTCCTTGCATCCTTTTAAAATTAAAGCCTTTCTTAGTGATGTGAATGCTATCAAACTGTGTTCACGCTCAAACTTCACTATGTTTTACTTTCAATCCAAACCAACAAATTGAAGGTGCAAGATACATATTCCTTTGGTAAGTGCTAGTTAACAAGGGGGCAATGTTGCATTATCTTCTTAAATCAGCAAAGGCCACCATTTTAAAGCTCTTTGTCTCCATGCTGTAATTTATGTGATCCGAGTGTGAACTGACACCTTTGGCCCACGGATGTTGTACCAAATGGATGGAGTGTCTCCCTCAAATCTTCAAGAACAGCACAGGAGGAAGGAAGTGGTCAAGGACTATAAGTAAATTCAAGGGCTATCCATCATCCATGCAAGAACCTCTGTTTGACTGATCTTCATTAGTCAAATCTCTATTTAGATGATAACAAGAGATTAAAATATGCATTGTTAGTTTTTGCATACCCCTGGATGGACAAGTTAAAAAAAGGGAAGATTATAATTTAGCTTTTTCCTCTCCTGACTGGGAGAAGTCTGTAACAGCTGATCCAATCAAATATATTGCTCCGTTTCTTAAGGTAATAACTTATACTAGCAAATTAAATTTAGTTTAGTTTATTTATTAGGGGACAGTGCAATTTTATAAAACACACGATTACACATGGTTAAGAAACCCAAAGTTAGCCAGAAGGCTAGTTTTTATCTGTAGTCCCCTACAGTCCCCTAAATATAGGCTAATGTGGATTGTTTCACTCTTAAATGTTTGACTAAATTACATTATCATTGAAAGATGGAACAGAAACAAAAAAGCTATACAGTTCTAAAGAGTAACCTCAGAGGATCATGAATTGACAGTTTAACTTAGATCAGTTTGAACATCAGGATTAGGTGCGCTCGGCAGAAGCTTGGGTAAGTCCACAGTGTTGGGTTGTGGCTCAGCTCTTTGTTCAGAAGTTTGTAAGAAACAAAAAAATACAGGTCTGTTACGATTTGCAAATATTGATAAGTCCAAAGTTGCTAACTGCTTCTCAATCTGCATAACCTTCAAACATGTAGGTGGTGGTATTACAGATAGCCAACCTGCTGTAATATATTCTGTTTAAAAAGCCACTGAAAAAGCTAAGGGCTGCCTTAGCAAAATGCTGTTACTAAGCACACACTACTGCATCAAAAACATTCTTTGGCACAATCAATGGAAATGCCCTTAAGCGCTAAATAAATTTGGGTTCCTTAACAAAAACATTTAATATCTATCTATCTTCTTAGTTCTGTAGAATCAATCTGTACCGCTAAAAAAAGCTCTCACTTCATTTAACCTTATTCTTGGCATGGACTGCAAATCGATCCTAACAGACCTCGAGAAGACCTAGGTGATCGTGCATGAACCCGACTTGTTTTTCCATGGCATATCAACCATGCTTGATTCAGACTGGAGTTCTGGAGAATTTGGAGAGCATGTCAACCAGCGCAGCTAAAAATGGCACCAGGAAATAAGGCATTCCCAGCGACAGTTTGGAGAAGACTGGCTGGAAGCCTCGCCCATGTTTCTTTACAGCAAAACGTCATACCATCACCAGGTAACACCACACGGGTAACACCACACAGTCACCAGACTGTCAAGGTTAGAGTGAAACACATTTAAAATACATCTTTTACTGCTTTGTCCAGGTGTGTCTTCGTGGCTTTTCAGCGGTGTTCTGTGCTGCAGAAGCCCTTATACAGAAAGCAGAAATGTGTTGTATTCTTGCAGCATTCTACTTCGTTAGGCCTTCAGGGATTGTGTTACAAAAGCGTTCTTGTTGGACTGGATAACGTCAGGTGGCCTTGTTTCATTTTGTCTTGGTTGTCTGTGTGCAGTTGTCCATTGTTTGGACAACTCTTTGGTGCATGTCATGAATTGTCGTTAACAATAGAGCAGCTGTGTCCAACCAACAGCCTGGTGACCATCTGTAATCCTTGAACAGGTGTACTCTGGCCCCTGCATATCTAATAGGTGGGGCCTCAATGGACTGTCTATACAGATTTCATAAATAATACATTTACACATTACTGTTCCTTTCTTGTTGCATGAAAGCACTTATTGCAGGCCTTAATGGTTTCAGTAGTACTGCTTTCCTAATGCTTGGTCCGTCGTCTGCGCAAACTCTGTGTCTGCGCCTTCTGTAGTGAGTTTTTCCAGTATTGTGACATTTGCTGTGCTTCCCTTTTAATTGTTGGCTGATCCGCCTTTTTTATTTCAGGCACTTAAGCAGCAAACCTTTTACTAAATACAGTTTTGAAATTGCAATTTACTGTGCATTTATGTGGATTATAATTAAATGCTGCACATATTGGACCTATTACTGATGATTTTAAATACTGAAAGTAA